TTCTTTCTTTCTTTCTTTCTTTCTTTCTTTCTTTCTTTCTTTCTTTCTTTCTTTCTTCTTTTTGAGACAGGGTCTCTCCGTAGCCACAGCTGGCCTGGATTCGCTATGGAGACCAGGCTGACTTCAAACGCACAGAGATCCACCTGCCTCTGCATCCCGAGTGCTGGGATTAAAGATGTGCGGCTCTACACACTTCCCCCTTTTTTATTTTTGCTTCATGTCTAAGTGTTCTGTCTCATGCTTGTAGATGTACCATGTGCATGCAATGCCAGCAGAGGCCAGAAGAGGGTGTCGCGTCCCCCAGAACAGCTGTGTTGTTAGCTGCCCTGTGGGTGCTGGGAACTGAACCTGGCTCCTGTTCAAGAGCACCAAATGCTCTTAACAACTGAGCCCTTCTCCAGCCCTCACTTTCTTTTAAGAAAAGGTCTCACGAGACTGGAACTCTCTAGACTGAGCCAGTCTATGTAGATCAGGCTGCCTCTGTCTTCTGCGTGCAGGTATTAAAGATATGTGCCACCACACCCAGCAGAAAAGAAACCCTTTAAAAAGTTATTAGGGGGGAGCAAGAGAGATGGCTCAGTGGTTTCAGGCAGAGGACTTGAGTTTGGTTCCTAGCATCCATTTCAGGTAGCTCACAACGAACTGTAACTCCAGCTCCAGGAAGATCTGATGCCTCTGGCCTCTGCTGCAAACCTACTCTCATGTGCACGCACGCGCACACGCACACACACACACACACACACACACCTTAATAAAAATTTAAAAATTTAACGTTATTTGGAATGATAAAAGCAAGGAAATACTTTGAAGTTTTATTTTTTAATATTTTACTATTTTTATGTGTGTGCGTGTATTGCCAGCATGTGTGTAAGGCGTCTGTGTCCTGCAATGCCCTCAGAGGTCAGAAGAGGGCACCAGATCCCCTGGAACTGGAGTATGGACAGTAGTTAGCCCTGGGAACCGAACCTTTGTCCTCTGCAGGAGCAGCCAGTGCTTTTAATCACTGAGCCATCTCTCCAGTCCCTATTTATTTCTTTAAAACAGGGTCTCACTATATAGCCCTGGCTGACTTGAAGTTGCTATCTAGGCCAGGGTGGTGTGTGGCACCACACCCAGCTTTTAAGTCTTGCGTTTTTTTTAAATACAAAGCTATTTTGAGGTTTTCTGAACCTTTACATCTACCATGTGTATAAATTGCATACTGATGACATTGGCTGTGTACGATAGTCTAAAAACATTTCTTTTACTGCAGGAATTGAATTGGTTGAGGGCAGATCTAGTGTCATCCTGAGTTACCTTCCTTGAGTAACCTGGAGTTTCTAGAAAGTTCAAACTTGAAGCACAAGGATGTGGCTTTGTATCCTACCTTAGTTCCCCTCCATGTTGTACCCCTGGTTCATTTGTTATATGTACCCTTGGTGGAGGGACTGCACAGACTTTGCCAAAGAGCTGAGGTCAAATGATTCAGATCTTTGCTTCAAAGACATCCACCTCCTCCCTTCCCATCCTGTCCCCCACCCCACACACTGAACTCTGGGTTCACCTCTGCTTTCAGGGTGCTTTGAATTATTTCTAACTTGGAAATTGAAAGTCTTGGGCTTCTTTGCCTGAAGATGGCACTGCAAGTCACCCAAGCTAGCACACTGGAGAAAATCTGCCCAAGCTCGTATCTTCCAACTCTGGACATCCACCTCCTCCCTTCCCATCCTGTCCCCCACCCCACACACTGAACTCTGGGTTCACCTCTGCTTTCAGGGTGCTTTGAATTATTTCTAACTTGGAAATTGAAAGTCTTGGGCTTCTTTGCCTGAAGATGGCACTGCAAGTCACCCAAGCTAGCACACTGGAGAAAATCTGCCCAAGCTCGTATCTTCCAACTCTGAGCGGCTCCAAAAGACTTTTTTTCCTTTTTTTTTTTTTTAATCACTTTTCGATTAATTTATGGTCCCTCTGACTGCCAGCTTGTAGGAAACTTGCTGTCCAGATGCACAATAGTTCTACCCACACCTTACTATACAGCAAAGTGGCATGGTAACGCTGTGAACTGCTAAGCTAAGAAAATTCTCTTTTGCTGCTTGTAGAGGAAGATGAATGCCTCCACCCAGCGTGGGGCACCGAGACTGAACCTGGAGGAATGAATAGACAGGGGGCACGAAGAAATGGAGACAAGACAGTATTCTGATCAAGTCTCTTTTACTGAGCAATCACAGTGTTAATATAGTAAAGCGGAGGGTGGGGGAAGGTAAAGGGTGGAGAGAAGGTGGGGGGAGTGGAAGGCGGCAAGGCCCTGCTGGGGAATTTCTACTACAGTCATGAGCCCTGGTGGTTTCACAAGATAAGGAAGTAAAATGTAGAAAAAAATCAGGGCAAGAAAAACATGTTTTTACAAGGCCACCTGGTTGTTTCAAACTGGGGCAGGGGTACACTTAAGACTTGGCCTCCAACATCTCCTCCCTTCTACTTTAATAAAGGTAATCCAGACTCCTCCCGTGAAAGGCTATAGTTCTCACAGTTTTGCTCTTGGTACTTTTGGGGAGGCGAGGCAGAGCGGCACCCTGGGGTCTCCGCCACACCTGGCTAGTCCCGGCGTGAGTCTGGCCGCAAGCGATGGGGGGAGCGTGCCTGGGTTCCAGGGCGCACTCACTCTGGATGTGGCCCAGGGTCAGGTGTGTGTGCACTCTCCTGCCGTGGTTCTGGTCCCGCTGGCTAGCTGCTGGCGGCCTTGCCGACCGCGCCTCTCTGGAGACGGCAGGTCCGCAGACTTCTCTGATGCTGGCTGTAGCTGATAGCTACACACTTCTCTGGAGCGGAGAGCTTCCTCTGCTACTAGATTATTATCTAGTCGGAATCCCGCCTCTATTACACCCTTGTACCCTTCCTCAGGATTGCGGAGTTCCTGGCCAGTGAACTCCACAGGGAAGAGCACGGAGGCAGTGAAAGCTGGGGTATCCGTGGGACGATAATGGAGGAATAGCGCCCCCCGGGGAGACTGGATCACAGGATTTAGTGTTACAGCTCAAGACAAGTGACTCAGCTCAGATCTCAGTGATTCAGCTCCAGCTCCAAGTCTAAGTGATCCAGCTC